TCTTCCCGCCTGGCACCCGCGTTGTCTTATGTCCTGAAGTGCCCGCAGTGTCCTGGCCACTGAGCCTGGAGCCAAGAGAGGAGTGCAGGGGACCTGCTGCCAGGGGCTCAGGGTTGACATGAAAATCGTTGGAGTCAGGAAATTCCAGGGCCCTTAAGTCATCCGGGAAGACAGTTGACAGGAGAGGCCAAGGCAAGGGATCAGGTTGCCTCTAAGTGGGAGCTGAGGTTCCCGTCAGGAGCTGGTCTGGCAGGAGGTGTCTGAGCCTTCAGCCTGCAGGCAGAGTCTGGGTACTGCCGGCCGAATCTTCATAACGACCAGCTGGGAGCTAACGTCCACTCACTGCCTCTTCACCCGGCTGTACTCGTTTATAACTGCTATTAGGTATCCCCAACAAGTCTGAAGAATTCATTTAGTGTCCCTATGAATTGGTTTGTAAAAACGATACTTCAAGCGCCCTGGCCGGGAGGCTCAGTTGGTTGGAGCGTCGTCCCGTACACCAAAAGGTTGCTGGTTTGATCCCTGGTCCAGGCACATACGGGAGGCAACCGATCAATGTTTCTCTCTCATGTTGATGTTTCTCTTTCTCTCTCTTTTTCCTCCTTCTCTCCTCTCTAAAAAAAAAATAAAATAAAAAAATCAATTAACATATCCTTGGGTGAGGATTAAAAAATACCTAAAACCTCTCCCCAAAATATTGACACAATTTTTCAATGTGTCAGTCCAGCAAGGAAGCCCTTTCTGCTAACTCCTTGGCTCATGTGATGGTTTAAATATTAAGCTCGCCTGTCTCGGGTGTCATGTTGAGGTGGGGTTTGTATCACAGGATGGGGGTGGGCAGTGTGTGTCGATTCCTTTGGTGTCTTCACAGGCAGCCGTGTTGCTGGGGCCCCTCTGGTGCCCACGTGTTTGGGCTCCCCAAAGGCGGTGGCGTCTGACCTTGCCCCCTTGCTCTAGCCCTGCCGTGAGGACTCCACACACACACTTCTTGAGGGGTCAAAAGGCACATACATAGTCACATTTTCTGTTTTAGTTGAAGGACTTGCGAGCACAGATGGCTAAACTATTAGGCAGGGCCAGCGGGGTTGTGACACTGGCCTGGGAGGTAGTGACAGCCTGTCTCCGGAAGGGGGACCGGGGCGGTTTCATGGAGGATGCTTGGGTCACGGAGGCTGAGGCTGCTAATTATAGAGGAGGAATAGAACTGAGGGTGAACTTCCACACATTTGGACAGTTGGTTTAAAATGGCTTTTTGTTCTCTTCTGTGTCATTCTTACTCAATAAAATGATCTTTGAGGGAAGGAAGCATTTATGTGTTCCTTGGTGCCCAGCCTGTGCCTGACATATAATTTGGTTGGAATTGACCTATGGAAATGGTCATGGCTAATGAGGCCCTGAATGTGAGGAGAGGCGTGAGGAGAATAGGCGGTTCTGCTGTTTCGGGATTCTGCTGTCAGAGGCTGAGAGGTGTGGGGCTTCCTGTTGTGGTCCAGGGCTGGCTGGGAGCATGGGGGGCCAGGGTGAGTGTTGAGGAAAACCAGATATTCACCTTGGCCGGCTGGGAATAACATCGGAAGGGCCTGTGGGGAGATGATGTGCCAGATAGCCAGAGTTGCCATAAGGGCTGCATCTGCCAGCCACTAGGAATCCCCACTTCCCCCTAACTAAGAACAGCATAGGGCTGGGGCGGGGGTGGAGAGGGCTGCAAGCCTTTCATGCACCCCATGCTGTCTCCACCTTAGGCACCTCAAATTAGCGACCTGGGAGGGCCAGAAGCAGAGTGTGCTGGAGTGGGCCTGGGGGGCTCGAGAAGGCTGGTGGGTATTCTCGGGGGTTCTGTGAGCCAGCTGTTCAATATAGCTATTATTAAAGATTTAAGGATATACCTGTACAATTAATAAGTTCTATTAGAAACAAAGATAATAATACTTACCTGACAGGGGAAATACCATGATCACGAAGGTGGTTTTCCCAGGGCGAGGCTTATCCATTGCACTCCGGATGTGCTGACCCCTGCGATTTCCCCAAATGTGGGAAACTCGACTGCATAATTTGTGGTAGTGGGGGACTGCGTTCGCGCTCTCCCCTGGAAAAAAAAATAAATAAAAACAAAGATAATAAAGATAATAAGGTACAAACTTCCAGTTATAAAATAAACAAGTCACTGGGATGTAATGTACAGCCTGTTGAATATAGTCAGTAACATCATGATAACTTTGTACGGTGACTGATGGTTACTAGACTGATTATGGTGATCACATCGTACATTATATTAATGTCGAATCACTATGTTGTGCACCTGAAACTAATATCAGATTGTATGCCAACTATACTCCATAAAAACAACAAAAAATAAAAAATAAAGATAATAATAGCAACTCAAAACATGTCACTTCCTAAATGTTTTATTACATTTTACTACTCCTCATCCTTTTGAGTTTTCTGACATCTCTTGTACCTGATAAACATACCATATACTGGTTAGTTGCTGCACATCTTGTGCAACCCCACGCTCAGTGACTTCACGCTGCTGGCTGACATGGGCTGCGGTGGGAGAATTTATACCACATACCAGTGCACAGGCTGTCCCTATCCCCCTGGGCTCTTGCCGGATCTGCGGGTGGACTACAGAATGACTCAGACCCCCTCGAGGAGAGGCAGAAACGCTCTACCCCAGCGGTGGGGAACGTCCAGCCCTCGGGCCATATAAGGCCTTGGAAATAATTTGGTCTGGTCCTGCCAAGACTTTAGGGTTGAGTTAATTAAATGTCTGACCAAATATAGCAGGCTAATTTTTAAGTTGATAATTTTGTATGGCCCGTGAATGATGTAATAAATACCCAAATGGCCCTTGGCAGAAAAAAGGTTCCTAACCCCTGGTCTACCCAAAAGCTTTCTCTGGGCTCACCTGTTTCTAGGGGCTGAAGCCCAAGAAATTTTTATGGCCTAAAGGGCTTTCATTACCCCCACCTTCTAGGCTGTTGATTATATGTGGGATTAAAAATAAACAAATGTGCGGATACTATCAACACAACAGATCAAGTAGCTTTCTTAGTTAACAACATCTGTAGGAGTTAAAAGCAAGAATGAGCAGCTGTGAGTCCAGCCGTCCACGTGGTCAGTGTGCATGTTAGCAGGTCCAGGGTCTCATGGAATTTTCCACCTGGGAAGGATAAAGTCGGATTTCAGTCCTCAGGAGACCCTGGGCCCAGGAGATGCCTCTGCAGGAAACCATTCCTGACTGCTGGTTCCACAGGTGGGGGGAGCAGATCCCTGTGTGTTTCCCCAAAACCATGGGTGCACCCCTGATACCTCAGAACCATGAATTTGGCCAATTTGATTCCTGGGTTAAATGCTGTCTCAGATCAGATGATCCGTCTGTGCCAGTCAAGAATGCTGACCCTTACCAGCACGCCCTTAGAGGAACAGTTTGTTATTAGAGAAATCAAACAAGTGAATCAAATAGGATTAACCCCTTTAAACAATTTAACTAGGTGTTTCTTACAAATAACAAAGAACAAATTCCTTTCAATTTGTTGAGGATAACCAGAAACACGGACCTGCCCGGTCTCTAAAAAAAAAAAAAAAAAAAACACCAAAAAAAAAAAGAAACCCCTCATCAAACTGTACAGTTTAAAATCTATGCAATCTAATGTAAGTTCTATTTCAATAAAGTTGATTTTACAAGGGGGGAGCAGATCCCTGTGTGTTTCCCCAAAACCATGGGTGCACCCCTGACACCTCAGAACCATGAGTTTGGCCAATTTGATTCCTGGGTTAAATGCTGTCTCGGATCAGATGATCCGTCTGTGCCAGTCAAGAATGCTGACCCTCACCAGCACACCCTTAGAGGAACAGTTTGTTATTAGAGAAATCAAACAAGTGAATCAAATAGGATTAACCCCTTTAAACAATTTAACTAGGTGTTTCTTACAAATAACAAAGAACAAATTCCTTTCAATTTGTTGAGGATAACCAGAAACACGGACCTGCCCGGTCTCTAATTGAAAAAACAACTAAAAAAAAAAAAAAAACCACCAAAAAAAACCCCCCAAAATCCTCATCAAACTGTACAGTTTAAAATCTGTGCAATCTAATGTAAGTTCTATTTCATTAAAGTTGATTTTCCAAAAAAATAAAAAAAAGGATCAGCAGCCTCTTAGAAGTGCTCATTCTAGACGAGAAGATAGTCTCAGCTCTCTTGTTGAGGATAATAAGCATAGCTTTTCTATCAAGAGAATAATTCCTTGTTTGAAATCTCACTGCGGAAGTGTTATCACATGTTTATTTAGTTATTTTAAAGTAGCCACATGTTCGCCTCTGTTTTTCCCCAACCGCCTGTCATTTTGAAATAAGAGCCTAACTCAGCAAGTAGGTGAATAATAAGAGCCACCCTACAGCCTGAGAAATCAAGCATGCAGTTATACATTTGGGCTTCCTCGTCATGTCATTTTAATCTTTGGTAAAATTATTTCCCTTTATTTTTATGTGTCTTGATCATTGTAAATGTCATGTGATGCTGCTGTAACAATCAACCTCAAAATCTTCACAACTCACTGCCACAAAGGCTCGTGTCTTGCTCGTTTTGGTTCAGTGGAGGCGGGGTAGCAAAGGGCTCTGTTTTGTGCAGCGATTCAGGAACCTGGGGCTCTGGTGGATTCTAGACTTTGGAGTCCTCCGCTGGCCCCTCTGTATCTGGCCGCAGGCAAGAGATGAAAAGTGGGACGTTGTGCAAGGGTGTTGTGGCCAGGGGTTTTGGGGGCCTTGTTCACTTTCACTCACATTCCATTGGTTAGTACTCAGTTTCACGGCTAAAAACCAACTATAAGGCTGGGATATGTGGTGTGTGTGTCCAGGAGGGAAAGGGAAGGGGGTTGACAAACACATGGCACACCAGCGGAACACTCAGATGCCATAAGCTATATATTGCAAGATTGATATTTGTAAGTCCTTCGTAGATCTCAGGCCATAGAAAGGATCAGAACTTTGTGGTTGAGTGCATGGTCAAACAGCTGGTATCCAAATCCCAGCTCCATCATTACCAGATGGGGCATCTCTTAGCTTCTCTCTATGCCTCAGTCTTTTCATCTGTAAAGTGGGGATAGTAATAGAAGTACGGTCCATGTCAGAAGCAAATGAAGCAACATAGGCAAAATGCTTAGAATTATGCATGAACATAATAACAAATAAGTATTTGTTAAATACATTAAAAAAAACCTGAGACTAGTAACCTGGGACCTCAGGCCCTCTGTGGTATGTTGTAATTTGGGTAGCAAAATGCTTAGAATTATGCATGAACATAATAACAAAGTATGTTAAATACATTTAAAAAAACTGAGACTAGTAACCAGGGACCTCAGGCCCTCTGTGGTATGTTGTAATTTGGGCGTGTTGTCATCCAAATGGAGAATGTTTCTTTTAGCTCAGTTGTTTATTGAGCAGCTATTGATTGTACCGTGCCAAGCATGACAGAATCTGAGTAAGCAGGCTTCTCACTGAATCAAAGGAAACAACATGTTTTCCCATCAAATTTGCCTTTGAAACTCTGGGACTCTCAATCCACGTTCACACCAGCATTGTGATCTTGGTTCCCACTCCCCACATCCATAGATTCTCCTGGGCCCCTCAGAGTGCAAAGTGGCACTGGCCCAAAGGGCTCCTTCTCCACCCCCGTCGACATCCATTGGGCCCTGTCAAGGCCACTCCCTTAATAGGTGTCGTATCTGTCCACTCGGTAGGCAGTCTGCTTCCAATCTACTCACAGGAACACGCTACCTCCTCCAACTATGATCTGCACTTCAGAATAATGCTTGATTAAAAACCCACATGGGGCAACATGCAGTGACTGCTCCATGCAGCGTCCCCCTCCCAGGAGCCGGCTGGGCTGACCAGGCTCTTTCTCTTGCAGCTCGACGACTGCACGCTGCAGCTCTCCCACAATGGCACCTACCTGGACCTGGAAGCCACCCTGGCAGAGCAGCGGGACGAGCTAGAAGGCTTCCAGGATGACGCTGGGTAAGAGCCACAATTGTCCCTGCTGACTGGTCCTGATCTCCCAAGAAATGGGGGGAGGGGCCCTGAAATATTTTGGAGAAACCTTTGGCCTTCTCTTCACTCGCAGTCACACAAAAAGAAGGGAGATGCAAGTGACACCTGTAGTCACAGCAAACTCTTTTGCATTTTGAGTAACTCATTTTTTTTAATAAAAATTTTATTACAGTTGACATTCAATATTAGTTTTAGGTGTACAGCACAGTGGTTAAACATTTACGTAACTTACAAGGTGATCCCCCGATGAGTCTAGTCCCTACCTGACACCACCTATTTGAGTAACTCTTCTTGACAAGGCTACTCAGGGGTAGGAGCATTTCTGGTATAGTTTAATTAAGAATATGGTATTTACATCCTGTTCTCTTTCTCTTAAGCCAAATATAACTACATTAATATTTTTAAGATTTTAGTGGATTGACAATTGTTTTAGACATTGTTTTTAATGACAACTCATTGGATATATAGTTTTCTTGCCAGATGCCCTAGTAGATCATGTTGTATTATATCATCTTTTGAACTCATTACAGTGGAAAAAACAATTATTATGTTAACTAACATCAAATCACTTTGAGCCTATCTAGAATTGCTTAGTACTTCTGATTGCTCAGTCTGAATAAAGCAACACACATACAAAATCAAAGATGTGTCCAGAAAATAAAATCTCTGTAGGAATATACTTATACAATCAACCATTCCTATATTTATTAGATTACTAGAGGCCTGGTGCATGCAATTTGTGCACTTGGGGGGGGGGTCCCTCAACCTGGCCTGTGCCCTCTGGCCCGTTTCTGTGGGGAGTGGGCCTAAGCCGTCAGTCGGACATCCTTAGCGCTGCTGCAGAGGTGGGAGAGGTGCCTGCCACTGCCTCTGCGCTCACCAGTTGTGAGCCTGGCTTCTGGCTGAGCAGCGCTCCCCCTGTGGGAGTGCACTGACCACCAGAGGGCAGCTCCTGCGTTGAGCATCTGCCCCCTGGTGGTCAGTGCAGCCCCCTGCCTTCTTCTCTATCCCTCATCCATCTTGAGCCACATATATCTCTGATTTTATCACCTTCCTCCTTAGAAAACTTCAGGGGCTCCCTGTTGCTTTCCCAATAATGCCCAGCTATTTTGATCTGGTGGTCAGAGACCTCCCCAACAGTTGTTTAGACATTACCTTGCTTGAGTTAAAAATATGTTACTGTCAGATAAATATTTTCAGAGAATACTAAGTTTTCATGAACAGCTCAAGGGAAAAAAATGGGAACCTGTTAGTGTTAGTCTCCTACCTGACTCCGCTATGTACTGATGACTTCCTGGATTTCCCCTGTTTTATTACAATTTATGGTCCATTTCCCCTAATTGTCCCTCTGCTGCTAAAACGAGGTCAGAACTAGACCTGTCTGACTATCCAGTGCCTAGCATTTTCTCAACACCTTATAGGCACTGAGTGAATGCTGGTGGCCGGTAAATGAGAAGATCCCAGGATGGATTCCTGAATGTCATGACCATGAGCACCAAGAAAACCAGGGTCCTTGGTGGGAACCAGCAAGGTTCTGTGAGGACGCCTTTCCTGTCTTTGGAGTGGTTCCCAGGGCCACACCAACAGTGCGTGGGGAAACACCTGGAATTTGCCATCGGCTGTACACATGTGAGGACTGTCATTATTAGCTCACATCAGATTCTACTCATCATCACTTAAAAAATGACTGCACAGGCATGCCTCATTCTACTGTGCTTCATGGATGTTGCCTTTCTTATAAACCGAAGGCAAGGTCCTTCACCAGCAAAAAGATTACAACTCACTTTATTGCGAGGCTTGTTTTATTGCAAGACTCTTATTGCCTTGGTCTGGAACCAAACCCACAGTATCTCCCAGGCTTGTGGGTACTCCCCCACCATCCCAGGAGCATCTGGGCAAAGGCACTTTAGGTTCTACTGAGGATGTACATTCACACCTTTGGTGACATGAGGGTGGTTCATGCAAGGACACCTTCAGTCCCAGGTTAAAACACTGGCTGTGGTTGAAACAGCACCAACCCCACAGCAGGGAGGACGCATCTGCTGCCGTCCTCTGGGCCTGGCCTACAGCTCGCTCTGTCAACACCAGCATCAGGAGCTGGAGGCTTCTCCCTAAAGAGCCAGGGCCCTGCTGCTAGGTCAGCAGAGTAGATCCTGGCTTCCTTTCTTCCTTTGTTCCCTTCTGAATCATCACCTGGCCTTGGGCCCATGGTCCTTGACCACATTTCTGCACCCTAACAGCATGCGATGCTGGGGAAATGAATGATGGCGAGAAGGCAGGACTCACGGCATGGGCGACTGCAAACAGGGGAAGGTGGCCCTAAAGCTTTGGGTAGCTGCGCATTTGACAGGTGTGCCACAACTCACCCCAGAGCAGGTTTTATGGCTTTGAAATAGTCTTCATTTGTGGTGCCCTACCCCTCGTCCTTTGGAATGTAGGCAGGATGACCTTCTCTTTGTCCAGAAGAGCGTGAAGAAGCCACGCTCTTTACTGCTCTCTGGTGGGGAAGCCCCTCTGTCCCTGGCCTGGATTGCAGAAGACATGCCAAGATTGACTGTCCTGGCACTGCCAGCTCACCCCGGTCACTCTCAGGCTACTGACCACCACTGAGCTCTGGCAGGGCTGGCTCGGAGCAGCCTACAGGCTGAGCCCTCCTGCACAGGTGGGAGGTGTCCATGCACATCTGCAGCCTCACTTGCCCTGAGCATCCCTCCGAGGTCCTCTCCGGGAAGCATGGCATTTGGCAGAGTCTGGGTGCCTGCGAAGTCATGTCTCCCGCGAATGGGAGTTAAAATATAATTTCTTCCTAGTTAACAATTGCCCCTCACAGGCACGAAGAGGTCAAATGAAATTGCATTCTTCTCTTGATTTCTTTGTGTAAATCATAGCAAAATATTCCCTAATGAGACCATCTGATGGAGACACGGGACCAGCTATGGGAAAATGATGGTGTTTTCCACACAATGTGCTCGGAGTGAATTTTCCTTGCTGGAGGAGTTTGTTTCTTTGTTCTCGTTCATTGCCCTGCTCTTTTATGCCAGGACTAAAAATTAACTCACCCCTTGTTTAGAATGATCACTCAAGCTATGGCTAAAGGGAGAAGAGGGGAAAGACCTTCAGAAGTGGAAGGACAAAGCAATTATTCTGCTGCAGAGGGAGCCAGGCCTGGTCAGTGCCTTCCAAGGCCAGGGAAGTTAGTAGCGGAAACAGGAACCCCGAAGCCTCTAATGATTATGCCTGACCCTGCCATAGAGTGACCTGGCGAGCCCAGTTCCCTCCCTGTGTCAGCAGGGATTCCAGCAGGGCCTCTGGCATCTGAGGAGAGCATAGTACAGGGCAGTGTAGCCTAGTAGTCAGGGGCATGGGCCTTGTGCTGAGTCTCGTGGCTGTGTAGCTGGCTGGGTGGGCCCCTTTTAAAGAGCTTTACCAGGAGCCCCACCAGCAACTTCCACATCCAGTTCACTGAGGAAAACTGTGTCATGTGGCCACTCTTGGGGGCCAAGGGGACTGGAGAAGGTGGTTTTTAGGTGGGAACGATGTCACCTCAAACAAAATTGGGTTCTCTTGATGAGACAAAAGGGGAAAATGGAAATTGGGTAGGTAACCAGCAGGGTGTGCCTCAGCAAGGAGAGAGAAAATTTCAAAGACAGGGCAGTTAACACCATGCCCACCACAGAGAAGCCAAGTTTCGAGAGGACCAAGGTTAGTCCAGGGTGTTGTAGGAGATTTAGGGAGAGAGGAAGCAGAATAGTTGTGGGTGGGGGAGAAAATGGAGGAGTGAGAAGGCGAGGCCGCAGGATGGCCCCAGAGCCAGGAACTGTGAAGGCGTTCAACTAAGGTTTCTTTCCCATTAGGGCAGCAGTTCTCAACCTGTGGGTCGCGACCCCTTTGGGGGTCGAACGACCCTTTCACAGGGGTCGCCTAAGACCATCGGAAAACACATATATAATTACATATTGTTTTTGTGATTAGTCACTATGCTTTAATTATGTTCAATTTGTAACAATGAAATTGGGGGTCACCACAACATGAGGAACCGTATTAAAGGGTTGCGGCATTAGGAAGGTTGAGAACCACTGCATTAGGGGCACCTGGGGATGAAAGTCTAAAACTTTAAAAATCTTAGAAGAAGCCCTAACTGGTTTGGCTCAGTGGCTAGAGCGTCGGCCTGTGGACTGAAAGGTCCCAGGTTCCATTCCGGTCAAGGGCATGTACCTTGGTTGCGGGCACATCCCCAGTGGGAAGTGTGCAGGAGGCAGCTGATCGATGTTTCTAACTCTCTATCCCTCTCCCTTCCTCTCTGTAAAAAAATCAATAAAATATATTTAAAAAAAAATAAAAATCTTAGAAGAAAATTGGAGCAAGTTTTCATTTCTTAGGTATGACACCAAATGCATAATATTATTTTCCCACTTTACAGACAAGGAAGCTGGGGCTCAGAGAGGCTAAGTAACTTGTCCAAGATCACACAGCTGGCTTCAGCATTTATGCTTTTCACCTCTACTGTCTACGAGGAAAGACCAGAATGCCTCTGGAGATGAATGTAGTAGCCACTGGCTCTCTTGAACTTGAAGTTTTTGAGCAAATAATCTGAGCTAACACTATCTTTTCACGTGCTGATGACTAATTCAAATCCTTCTTCAGCTCATTATCCCTCAGCCAGAACACTGGCTGCATCTCACCGCTCCAGAAGCTTAGTAAAAGGAAGCATATTCCTGGGGCAGCTGCTGAATGGGTCCTAATTTCTGCTTCTGCCACACGGTCAAACATGTTTTCTACTCTTGATCGAAATCATAGTTTAGTTCTAATTTGAGTGGAGGAATGTTTGGGGGCATTATTTCTGCTGTTGGTTGCAAGAAAAAGTCATCAAGTCTCTGGCTGCATGCCACTTAATAAATTAATGTATGCACTTGCTCTTATAGCCACAAAAAGACTTCATATGTTATCCTTGTAAAAATACTTGAGCCTGACCAGTGTGGCTCAGTGGTTGAGCATTGACCTATGAACTAGGAGGTCATGGTTCGATTCCTGGTCATGGCACATGCCCGGGTTATGGGCTCAATCCCCAATAGGAGGCGTGTAGGAGGCAGCTGATCAATGATTCTCTCTCATCATTGATGTTTCTCTCCCTCTCCTATCCTCTCTGAAATCAATAAAAATATATTACAAATAAATAAATAAAAATATTCTCTTGAGAGACTGGGGCAGAACTGAAACATGGTGTCTGGGAGACTTACTTGGTTAAACCAGCCTTCTTCTCCCCCCACCCCCCCTTCCCCGGGTCCCACCCCAAGGCCATAGGCATGGTTGTAGGAGAAACTTGGTGGATTCTGAGAAGCCAGGAAGTTTTGGAAAGTTCCTTCACCAGCAGCACCCTCATATCGCTGGCATGTTTGCCTTGATTGGAGTTCCGTTGAATTGAGTGTCTATTTTAGATAGTTTTCTTGTCACTTGGGTAGCACTGGCCTTGGGTGTGGGCACTTGATTGGCTGTGGCTGATCTCCAAAGTGGTGATGTTTCCCTGGCAGTGGCTGTGCTGATAGGAATGGAATCTGACTCTCCCTGGGGAGTTTCAGGTCAAATTAAATCGCTTCTGCCTCGGGGTCACCCTGCTGCAAGCAGGCGGATTCAAAAGGAGAGGCAGCTGTGAAACAGATACAGCATGTCAATATCAGGGAGGAAAAGATCACTCAAGTGTTTATGCTGAATCCACTGATTTTTGGAACATGGAAGCTCCATGAAGGCAGATACCAAAGTTTGTATTAAGGTTCTCTAGAGAATAGAACCAACAAGGTATCGATCTACCCATCTAATCTTTCTAATCTAATCCATCTGGTCTACCGAGTATATCTAGAGAGATTTATTTTAAGTAATTGGCTCACTCCATTGTGGCGACTGGCAAGTCTGAAATCTGTGGAGTGGGCCAGCGGGGTGGAAATTCAGGTAAGAACTGATGTTGTCGTCTGGAGTCCAAAACCTGCAGGTCAGGCAGGATCTCCGGGTTGCTGCTGCCTTGAGGCAGAGCGTGCATCGTGCATCTCATATCGAGTGGAATGAGGGAGTAGATGAAGGAGCACCCACCAGGGAGGTGATAGGAGCACAGGCTCTGGGTTGCACTGCCTGGGTTGAATCTGAGCTCGTCACTTTCTAGCTGTGTGACTTCAGCTATGTTGCTTAACCCTTTTGGGCCTCAATTTCCTCATTTTAAAAATGGCAATAATGTTACCTATTTTATAGGAATTTTTTGAAGATCGAATCTGTATAAAGTACTTAGACTCTTGTCCGGCACGCGATAAGCATTCCATGAAGGTTAACAACTGTTATGAATATTATTTTCCAAACCCAAACTGACATAGTATCCCACTGGGGGCAGGGGGAAATCTACCTGTGATTATTTAATTTTCCTTTGAAAGTTTTAGCCATGAAACAGAAGATAAGTGCATACTTCCTACAAAAAGCCTGGGGATAAAATGATTATTTTTAATAGATGACATGATTATGCCCATAAAAGAATTGGCCCAAGGATTTTTAGAATCAATAACAGCAGTGAGATGGCCATGTACAAAGGAAATGCATGAAAATCAACTTTCCTCTAATACTAATATATCAGCATTAATCAAATTTAAAGGCATTTTATGATGGGTGTCCTTTATACATTGATATTTAATATATATAAATAAAACATTGAACTTCCTGTAATCCTTGAAGTCTTAGGAGAAACCTTATTTGGTCCTGTTAAATTATTTTCATAATTTGGTTTGGCAATATTTTCTTAGATTTTTGCATTTTAATTTGTATGTGTGTCCTCTTTAATAGATTTTAGCATTGAGGTTAAACCACTAAAAAAAGTGGAGAGGTTGTATAGTGAGGCTTGTCCCTGTACAGCAAAAGGCAGGCTGCAGCTGGTGACTGTGGAGCCAGACACTCTGCCTTCAGGCCCGATTCGATTTCCACGAGCCCTCTGACTTTATGGAGGTTACGTCATTTCTACAGGCTTTGCTTTCCTTGTCTGTAAAATGGGCACAATGATGGTACCCACATCATCGAAGATGGGAGAAAGTGGAGGTGGGAGAGGGAGGGGTGGGAGATGAAGGACACCTTCTGGGGACCTGCCTGCACTCACCGCCACTTGTCTCCACCTTGGCCGCCTCCCTCCTCTGCCAGTAGCTCCTGGGATTTGGCGCCTCAACCCCTTAGGCAGCTTCCATAGACCTTGGCTCTATTCTGAGAATTTCCACAGCGATTCCTCCCATCTCAGGGTTTTGTGTAGAGGGGCAGTCAGGGAAGGAGGTACAGAATTGGAATGATAAGAGAGAAAACTACTACAAAATAGGCCTTTTTTGTTCTGTGGTCTCTTAAGTTCCACCAGGGTTTGGCTTAACCTGTCCGATTGCCTGGTTTCTCAAGGCACAAGCACAGGAGGCACGGCACCTCAGAGTGGTTGGCCTGCCAGGGCCGCCTCCGAGACTGTCCTGGTGTTCATGAAGGCGCCGGGAATCCTAGAGCGACAGCCCCACGCTCTCACTGGGGGACTGCAGAATTCTCTGGGAAAACTTAAGCGCTTCCTTAAAATGTGACTTTGCAGTTGTTTGAAGATAAAAGTGAGGGCCCTTTGAACTTTCCAGAACTTGAGGTATTCTGAACTGTTTCCCCGGCCACCCCTGCTTCCCCACTCGGGGCATCCAAAGCATGTGCTCTGCCTCCCGTCGTCTGGTTTTCATCATCAACTCCTAATGCTGATAACATGGGCCACGGACTGAGGGTGCTCCAGGTTTGCTCTTCCTCGTGGTTGGGGCCTGGCTCCCCTCAGGGCTTCCGCAGTCTCTGCTCCAGCTCTGGGGGAGGCTCCCACTGAGGACCCCCCCACCCCCAACACATACACACCTTTTCCAGCAGTTCACAAAGAAGGCCGGTCTATCAATGATTGAGCACAGGGCACCAACTGAAACTTTCTTCCTGGTACCGTCACAGGAATTGAAAGAGTGTCAACACCAGCATTGTGAGAGAGAAAACCATTTTGTGTATGTGTGTGTGAGGAAGAAAATTTTGAAGAAATCTGCCCTCCTAGGAATCTCAAATCCAATTTCTGAAGATGGGTCAAGGGCGGTGGATTTGTTGTAAGCTCCTTGAGACTAGTGCCTTGCACACAGCATATGTAAATCAATCAAATGAACAAAGTGGGAAGGGGGAGGGGAGCCCTGGGGATTTGAAGGGACCGGATGCAGGTTCTCTACCTACAAGCAGCTGCAGGGCGGGAGGCCACTGCATGCTTTTGTAGGACTATGCAGCTGGCTTTCCTTTCTCCTTTAAAAGAATAAAAAAACAACCTTTGATACCATACTTTCCCCTCTGATCTGGTCTCAAGCATAAGAAATAGAATTGTTTCATTGATGACGATGAATCAATAATCACAATATTAGCAGTGTGCCTGGTGAGATGTCTGTTCCCGTCCCCTCCAACACAACCGTAAAACCAGGAATTACTGCCAGACTCCTTTACAAAGGAAGCCCTGATGGGCAGGGGTGAGAGGCCAGAAGAGTGATGGAAGGGCAGTTCAGCCACCAAGAGCCCCAGTGGCTTCCCTGCTCCATGCTGGTGGGCTGGCTCTGTTTTACCTCTGCCCATTGGCTTCCGCTTTCTCCCAGTCTCAAAGCCTTTGCTACCCCCAGGTAGCCAGGACTCACGTTTCTTCCCATTTATCTTCTTCTCTGTCACCTGCTCAGTGCTTTAGTCCTCCTTTGCATAACGGGATGAGCCCTGGTGGGAACAGAATTGGGGAGGGGCCAGCTTTTTGCTTCCTCATAAGGAATGAAGTGAGAAAGAAACAAAAGTGAAGCGAGGTGTGTAAATTGGAGTTCCCAATAATAAATAGCCTATAAGCTCTTTGGTGGATTCTCATCTTCCTGGAAAGGATAAAAACCCACCCAGTAGTCTTGAACTGATACACAGCAAAGCAACTCTTTCTGATCCCCCCACTGCATGTGCCCCTTTCCTATATCCAGAAAAATGTAAAAATAGCCATGGGAATGATCAGGCCGATTTGGGTTGTTACATTCCTGGGTTTTCACTTTATGGGCACAGATTTGAAAATTTTCCCAACATGGTCAAGCATGAGAACACTCAAACTCTGTGGATGGAATGAGTTGACCGGGTTTGGCAATAAAATGCGTGTGTCAATCCAACAGAGTCAAACTTTATTATTTTCTGGAAAGCCCTGTGACATCACATTATTTCAGGAGAGATTCTTGTTCTGTTTGGGTCCCTGCTTCTCTGGAGTCTCTGTCTGGTGGATGTGTCAGAACCTTCGAGTGGATTGTCGGCATCTAGGCTTCTCGCTGACTCCTCTGATGCCCGTGTGTGTTTTCTCTCCATTAGGCGGGGCAAGAAGCACAGCATCATCCTAAGGACACAACTGTCCGTGAGGGTCCACGCCTGTATCGGTGAGTGACATGTGTAGATGGAGATGCTTGCCATCCACCTTCCGTGATTAAACATGTGATGAGAAATGCCACTCCTGGGAATGAATAGTCACTCTTGGTTGGGTTAGCTCCTGTCATTGGATCATTCAAGTTTTTAGTGAAGTAATTCCTAGCAGTTGTTTTTGAAGCCCTGCTCTGCCTGATCCCTTTGTTGTCTGGTTAGTGAATAGAGCTGGAGGTAAGACATTGCTGCTGAGGTTCCTTCTGGTGATGCTGGGAGAGATGAAGGCCTTCCTGGGGCTGTGCCAGTGTGAATCTCCTGCCAGTGAAATGCCTGCCACGTGCTTCCTGGTGGGTCTGCGAAGTTACCTGGACAGGAGTGAGGTCTGAGATATGGTTTTTGGTCAGGTGATTGAAAGGGAAACTCAGGTCAGGGCAGGGTGGGCACATGTGGATGCTGAGCAATACGGTGATGTACGTACTTCTGGCTCAGGATGGCTGGCCTGCGGTCACTCGGGAACCCCATCGGGCCGTTCCTGCAGCCATTGATTTTCTTCCAGACCCACTGGTTTCCCAACCAACACACAAGGGTTGAATGGCGATGAAAGGAATTATTTATGCAAACTAGACAATCTCTACGTAAAGCGTTTCTGAAACTGGCTTGGTTTCCTCCTGGCATTGGGCCACATTGAGGCAAGTATGTAATATAGAAAGAAAAAAAGGAGCTAATTTTACTTTATGCATAGAAGTTCTCCATATCTGAGTAATTTCACTTTTACTGAATATACACTGTGGTCTTAATTCAGGCCTCTAATTAGGAGAGGGTAAGTCATCCTGTTGAGGCACATTCTGCACCTGGAGTGTGGTGTGCGAGGGTGGAGTGGGAGGAATCATTTCTGGTCCCTTCTCCTTCCTGCATCCCTGCTGGAAGGGATGGGGCGAGGGAGCAGTGGGATGTGGAGGGAAATCCATGTCAGTTTCCTTCAGTTGGTGTTAGGTATGGTGGAGATGCAAGTGCCTGGAGTGACAACCTTTGTCTAACTCTGTGTCCAGAGTAACCGTGCAGCTGACTCATAAAGCTCAGGAGGGTTTGTTATCATTTTGGAAGCAAAGTAAGATCTGTAGGACCTTCAGCCAACATTGACTGTTCGCTTCTCAACTGCCTGTAGCACTGAGCGACCACAACCCATGTATGTGCACTTGATTATATTTAATTGGTTACACTTTTCCATTTATTTCACATGTATAAATCATGTCTACCTGTAGAAAAGGCCTATGATTCTTTTGGATAAACTCTCCCCTACCCCCAATGCAGTATCTAGAGCAAATTCAGGCACTTATGTGCTGAACTGTTTAAAGTTCAATATTGGTTGAAATATAACTGGTTAACAGTAGGACTTGGGGCATGAGCATGAATTCGCATTTCCCAGAAATAATAAGGCAGTGGAAAGCAGATTTATACTAAAATGGGCTTGTTAAATATCCTAATGAGCTAGCTCCTTAAAGAAAATTCACGCTTTTGTAGTATGGGCTGACATATTTTAGTGTAGGAGTTTCTAATTTGCTGCCATGTTATTGACTCACTGCATTAATTGATGTATTCCATAGTCCCATGTGATGCACGTACTGGTAAAACCCGTATCTTCTCCCTGTGGCATGCTGAGCACCTCTGACCGGTCCAGCCCACTCTCTCTCAGGACACTCAGGACTTTCTGCTCCAGGGGGTGAACTGGGTGCATACGGGGTCAGTGTGTTTGTTCCAAACCTTCTTAAGCCAGTTGCACTTGCTATTGGAATTTTGTCATTCAATGAAATGGTAACACAAATATTTTATAATGTGAGTGTAAAAAGTCATTGCTTTGAAAGTTCATTGACTATTTTGGAAAAGAATCAAAATTAGTACAAAAGCCTTTCTGTCAACATAAGTGGGTTGTGACAAGTACACAAGGTGTGAGAATGTTGTAAAAATGTAGGTTTCTGCCCTGGCCAGTGTGGCTTAGTTGGTTGGGCATTGTCCTGTGCACTGAGAGGTCACTGGTTCAATTCTCGGTCAGGGCTCATGTCCGGGTAGTGGGCTTGATCCCCAGGAAGGGGTGTGCAGTAAGCAGCCAATTGATGTTTTGCTCACATCTATGTTTCTCTCTTTCTTCCTTCCCCTTCCTCTTTCTCTAAAAAATTAATGAAGAACCTTAAAAAATAAAAATAAATAAAAATGTAGGATTCTGCCCTGGCTGGTGTGGCTCAGTGGTTGAGCGTTGTCCCATGCACCAAGAGGTCATCGGTTTGATTCCTGGTCAGGACACAAGCCCAGCTTTCGAGCTTGATTCTCAGTGGAGATCATGAAGGAGGCAGTGAATTGATGTTTCTCTCTCATGGATGTTTCTATCTTTTCCTCTCCCTTCCTTTCTCTCCAAAATCAATAAAAACACATTTAAAAAATGTAGGATTCTAGTCTTCACAAGTATTTTTATTCTTGCTTGACTTCAAAGAAGCTGAGATGGGAAATCATAGGCCATGTTATTGGAGTGGTTCATGAAAGAAGGTCCATGTAGAGTTCCAGGTAGTAGATCCTTAATCATAGAAACATAATCGTCCAAAACAGGGTATGTAAGTGTGTCCCCTTATGTGCTATAAACAGGATGACCAGCTGTGGCTCATCACAGGCAAGTCAGGATGGTCAGTCACTATAGCTGCAAATTCAACTGAAGTTTTAAGGTATGTGCTAGTATATATCATTTTAAAAGAATTTTCTGATTTAATCAGTTTTCACCACTAATTAGGTCTGAGTGTATCAGATGAGGGTTTGATATACCCAAGAAGGCAAAGTTTTTCCTTTGTATGAAAAATCCTCTTTCCTATTATTTGCAGGATCTGGAAAAGATTTATTATAATAGCACTAAATATTATCCTCAGGAATGTATGCATCATGTGTATGAAGTACCAGCCTCCATTGTGACATATTCATTCCCTTCCCAAATGGCAATATTAGGTGAGATTTCTTGGGGATGAAAAAAACCCAAACCTGGCACAATCTTCAGGCAAAATAAAAAAGGAACACATGACTCGGGGGACGGACAAAAACCTTTCACATCAGTTGTTTGTGTCCTTGTTTCTTTTCAAGGTTATTTTTCCTCTTTACAATATGATAAACAGTTGAGTTATTACAGGCATTGGACAATGGCTGCTGTCTGAGGCTTACCGCTCCATGCGGCTTCCCCAGCCATCTTCCTTTCCACCTCACAGTTGGATTCAAAGGACCCAGGACAGCTTTGGCTCATGGGTTTAAGATGCTATCAAGTAAATTCCTCGAAAATAATGTTTTCCTCACTCTTCTCCTTCATTCCTGTTTTTATTAAGTGTAAGAATGTGTAGAATCCAGGACTGCGTGTTGATGAATTGGAGGTGACATGCCCTGGGAGTTCTCCAGTGTTAACTTTGGAACTCCATGCCAGTTGGGACGAGAGCAGAGTGGAGCCTTCATGGTTAGCAACTGAGCAAAACTCAAGAAATGAAGGCCAAGGGCACTGCTTTGCTGGTCACAGTTAGCAGCAAGATAGGTCTTCTTTAACAGCATAGTAGTTCTGAAGCACTTGGCAGGAAGTTGGAATGAGATTTTGGTCAGAGAGAGCCCCCACCCACAGCTTTTTGCACCTCTATCCTCCACTGTAATTATTTCTTTGCGCATTTTTAGTATGACCACTCGAGGTAACATATTGTGGCAAACAGCACATGACTTGCCTTCTGAATCTAGCTGGTCAGATCATGGGCATGAGGTTACAGATATAAAAAAAGGAAAATCTACGATAGGCACCAGAGGCTGCATTTTATGAGGTTAGCTAGAGAAAATAAATTTTTTGATCCCTGCATGCGATCCTATTTCCAGACACCAGAAGAATGTTCGGAGGGCCAACTGGCTCCGATGACTAACTCTTACCATGGAGAGAAAAGGAGTAGAAGAACTGTGGGTGAGGAATGGAATTGCGAATTAAAAAAATAAGTTTGAAGTCATCAGGATCCTAATGCTAATGTCTGAATGTTTTCTACTAGCTGACTTTGAAGGCATTTTGTTTGGCTTGAAACTTCTGCGCCTCGGGTTTCTGAAGTAGACCCTGTTTTCCCATTGAGAAAACAAGCCCTGCCGATGGGTGGCCCAGGACCTAGAAGGCCAGCACTGTAAGTACCCGGCCTTGGTTAAACAGAAGGATAACAAATTGGCTGAAGACTCCAATGTGTCATTTATGTGAGTAGTTGCCAGGCATAACCTGGCACAAAGGGTCTTCAGAGACATGTTCCCCAAACTAGGAGATGATGAGGTCCCCCATGGAGGTAGAGGTGAGGTAGGCAGAAGCTGGCCAGGTGGCTGAAGTGATGCCTCTCTGCATGAGATTAGTCTCACTGCTCGTTCAAGGTCAAATCACAGGGATCAAGACAACTTTAAAAGGCAAGAAGGCAAAGTAGGAGGTGGCTGTTCATCCCCTGATGCAGAAAAGTAGCCAATTTCCAGCAGAAACATGAATAGAATGAGGCATCAATATATCAATTGCAAAGCATTTTCTTCTCAAGGGCTAAATCAGACAGCTGTGTGCTTAGTAGACTGTCCAGCAAAGAGGAGAATGACAGTGGGGCAGTTCTTCAGGAAGAACTTTCTAGTGCAAGAGTGACTGAGGGGACTCTTATGTGCACAGTGTTGAGGAGGACCCCAAGGCCATTGTGGTCTTAATGGGAAAGGTCCTGGCTTTGAGCCGGCTTTCATTGGTGGCGATGGCGGTGGCGCGGGTCTGTTTGGTGTGATGACAGCTCAGGGGCTTGGCATGGATTCTGTCCAGTGTCCGAACCACCTCTAGCTTCAGTGTGGAGCGCCCTGGCCTTCTGTATTCAGAGGGTGGGGAGTGGAGCTGTAATCCGTGACCCTGACCTCCTCCACCTTTCTTCCCTAATCCCTGCTCGGTTTTGCTTTTCATTTTGAAGCCGGGGTGGGGGCGAGTACTGCTTCCCCCGTTGGTGTCTCTTCCTCTGTGCCC